AATAAATAAATAAATAAATAAATAAATAAAAATATTTTTATTATTATTATTATTATTAAGGCCTCAACATTACTTATTTTTTTAAAAGGTCTATTTAGTGTATTGTGCTTTTATTTTGTTCAATGCCAGCTGAAAGTTCTTTCTGGTAGATGAGCAGCTATATAAGTTTGTTTAATAAATTAAATAAATAAATTGAAACCTAATTAAAGAATTAAATTAATTAAGAATTAAATGTTCTTAATTATTTATAAAACTGTCACATTTTCTTTCTTTGATTGCCTTATTTTAGGATAACTGGACAGCTCTTATCTCTGCAGCTAAAGAGGGGCATACTGCTATTGTATCAGAACTCCTTACGTGCAATGTCAATATAGAACATCGAGACATGGTATGATATATTTTTTACTTTCATAATTAGGTAAGATGATTACTTCCCAGTATCTTGGCACTGAATGAATGGTACTTATAACCAGTCCTTGAAGTTCCAGCCATTGCAGCACCCCTGCGGTCATGTGATTGTGATTCGGGTACTTGACAACTGGCTTTCGCTTACGACAGCTGCAGTGTCCCCTAACCCTAACTGCGGTCATGTGATTGTGATTCGGGTACTTGACAACTGGCTTTCGCTTACGACAGCTGCAGTGTCCCCTAACCCTAACTGCGGTCATGTGATCGTCATTTGTGACCTTCCCTGCAGGGAAGGTCACAAGTCACTCTGGTAAGTCCCCCTGGCCTTCCTGCGCTTGTTGTATGCCATGCCATCCCTCCCATCCTTCCTGTCCTCATGTGCTATGCCATCCACACCTCAACCTCCCTGTGCTTGCACCACGCCATCCGCCCCCCGGCCTTTCTGTGCTCATGGACAGCCTGTACCAGGCTTCCCAAGCTTTCCCCCAACTTGTGCACAGCCTGCGCCAGCTTTCCCAGAGCATCCTCCATCCCCCTGCGGCACCCCCACACTCCTTACTTGGAACTCCCACTGCTTCCCACTTAATGACATGCAAATCTTGGAGTTATGATGGCAACCAGGACTGCTGAGTTTGTTGTTGCTAAGTGATGCAGTTGTGTGATGTTGTGCTTTACGACTGCATCACTTAGCGACAGCAGTCTCAGTCCCAATTGCTGTTGTAACCCAAGGGCTATCTGTACACTATTTAGCTTCTTTTAATTATGATGTCAGTACTGAGTTTGAGATTGTGAATGGCATGAATGAAAGTGTGTGATAAACAGTGTTTGGTGATTGTCTCCCTTGGAGTGTAATGCTAGGAGTTTATATAGAGATTTTACATAATGGAATGCAAGTCTGATATAAAAAGTGTGTTATGCAAAAAATTGGGAACATTTTAACCTGTCAGAACACACTATAAATGACCCTAAAAGTGGCCATTTTTGAGTAAAGGAACTTCAAAGGAAATTTATAAGGGCATTATCCCACAGCAATTGTTCAGTGAATAGCCCTGCTAATAAGGTGATATCTACTACTTATGTGTTGTAAGCTGCCCAGAATTCTTTTGTGAGATGGGTAGCTATATGGCAAACAAACAAACAAATAAATATCTATACTTTTTGCATTTCACTTTTCTTTGCCCTCACTGTGGCATGTATTTCCTTCCTCACCTGTTTACTATGAGTGTGTGTAAAAAAATCAGGAGTCTGTTAACATCTTTTCCAACTAAGACATTTTATTAAAAGGCATAAGCTTTTGTGAGCTGCTGTACACTTCATCAGATACATAGTGTAGCTAGACTTATGTAGGATTTAAATTGGGGTGAGGTGAGGATGGGGTGGAAAAGAGGGGAATACAGGTTTGGTTATGCAGATGCAGGTTACATGTGAAGCAGATTACAAGTACCTTATAACAATTGTAATGCATTAAAAACCCATTGTTTTTGTTCTGTAATGGTATGTAGGAATGACCTTGGGAGATAAGGCCCAGAGATGCTGCTTAGGAAATGGTCAGATAAGAGACAGCATACCCCGCAGCTGGATAGTGGGCGGGGCAAGTGGCTCAGAAGACACCCTCCCTAATTTCTCGGGGTGTAAAGGAGATGGGGAAAGAATTATACTTTCAGACTTGCAAGATTCTGTTAATGTAGCCTTACAATAAAGTAGATTAGCTCATCTGGTCATGTTTTCTATCTGGTCTACCTGGTAAGGCTGACAGTTCAGATCTTCTGAGGTAGTCTGAAATCTATTGATGTATGTAAGCTGGCTATCACACATAATTGGGCTGGCAAAATTTCTTTGTTCCAAAATGAGTACTTTGAAACCTGTAGTGGAATGTCCTGGGAGATTAAAATGTTCTCATACTATTTTGTCCTTGTTTTGAGTCCTGATGTCAAATTTGTGTCCATTAATTCTTTTGTACAGTCTGGTCTGTTTGTCCCACATAGGATCCAGAAGGTCTTGCTGGCTGATCATGGCATATATCATATTAGAGGATGATCACATGAAAGCACCTCTAACTTTGTGTGTGACATTGCTCCCTTGTTAGCATCATTGTTCTGATGCTAACGCGTTTGAATGGTTTTATGAGTTGTAGGTGGCAATTGGTGTTATGTTTTTGTGGTCCATGTTTTAATAGGTCCTTCCTTGGCATTGATCTGCCTCTATTGATTTGTCCCATTGGGTGGATAGTTCAGTCTCCTGAATGCCTGGATTAATTTGATCAATTGAGCATCTCTGCCACGTTGGTCAGACCAAATGTGGTTGTAACATAGAGCCTGGCTGTAGATGAAAGATTTGGTGATATGTTGTAGGTGAATGCTCAAAGTATGGAGGTATATATAGTGATCTGTAGGTTTTTTGTTTTATTTTATTTATTTATTTATATTTCGAATTTAGACACCGCCCATCTCACAAGGAAGTGACTCTGGGCGGTTTACAATAAAACAACAAATATTAATTAAAATACATTAAAAACAGTATAAAATATAGTAAAACCAAACACATACATAAATAATAATATCTTCCAAGATGCTGGTGATCGAAAGGTGTTAATATATGGGAGCATCTTCGAAGTGCTAGCCACCCCCATGGTTGGTTGCCCCTTTTCTCACCCTATATACATTCATTGTGTAGTTTTACGGTGACCTCAAGGACATGGACTTGTTCTATAGAAAGTTCTAAACTGAGGTTGATGATGGGGTGGAAATTGTGTTTGTGCATGCGCATGTCTATATGTGCAGCTGTATTTATATAGATATCATTATAAGTGAGGGTAATGCTCTATGCTTCAGATGAAATGGGTTCCAAATCTTATACTGTAAGACATTTATTATTCTTTAAGGACCCTCAACAACACAACACTTTTTCTGTTCCTTTGTAAATGTATATATATTGGTGTCCTGAAGATTAATTCAGCAATTATATAGCTTAATTCTTTATTTAAACGTAGGAAGCACTGTCTATACTGTATAATGATTTTCTGTTTTATCGTTTTAGGGTGGGTGGACACCCCTTATGTGGGCATGCTACAAAGGCTGTACAGAAGTAGCTGAACTGCTTCTTGAAAGAGGAGCAAATCCAAACATCACTGGTATAGTAAGTTATCTCCCCCACCTTTTTTTGCAGTCAAATATTACATTATAAGAATTCTGCATTTGGAATTCTGCATCTTAAATAATAGTTAACTTATTATTCAGATAATTAGAGAATGTGAGGTAGAACTTCTGTTGGCTATTAGTCTAGTGCTAGTCATTTTTAATTTGTGTAAAATTAATATTTCCACATGAAAGACTTTTAAATAAAATAGAGGTAGCCTTCATTTAGTGACCACAGTTGGGACCAGCAACTCGGTCGTTAAGCAAAGTGATTGCTAAGTGAAACTGTGACTGTGCTTATGATCTTACTTCAGCTTTCCTTTGCTTTACAGACCTGTGAAGGTAAAAAATGTGAGGATTGGTTGTATAGTTAGTTTTTCATCACCGTTGTAACTGTGAATGACCGTTAAATGAGGCAGTTGCTAACGAGGATTACCTGTAATGCTTTTAAAAAATGTCTCATGGCAATTTAAAACAATAATCTTAATTTAACGGTATGGAACTAGTTGCATGCAAAAGTAATCCAGGTTGTTGATAGAAATTCCCAACCATATAAAAAAAGGTGCACCCAGCCATCCTTTGCTGCTTTGAACAACACTATAAGGAATGTTGGTTAAGTAAAAGAGGACTTGCTTCCACCCACAAGAGTTCTTGTTCCATGTAGACTATTAATTGTATTTTGTAACTGTGCTTGAAAGGTTGTGCTAATTTGGTTCTATCAATAGAGGGAGAATATTGTGTGTTAATTGCTGTTATTCAAGAGAATATATTTCTGTACTTTTTCCTGCTATCAGCTATCCCGATTAAGTGAAGAAAGAAGAAGAAATCAATTTATTTTTTTGCCTCTTCTGGTTTTTCATTTTATTTCTAATATACTGGATTGATTCGTGCTTGATAACTGAGGTGAACAGATAAACTGTTATTCTTACTGCTTTCAAATGTTTTTCTTTAAGCAATATAGTGTGTATCCGATAATTTGGGCAGCAGGCCGAGGCCATTCTCGTATAGTGCATCATTTGCTGCAACATGGAGCTAAAGTCAACTGCTCTGACAAGGTAAAATGAAAGCATTTGCTTAAGGCTAGAACTTAATTTTGTTAAAAAGTTAAAATTACTGGAAATTAAGTTTTTGTATCTTGAACTCTCAGTTCACCAGTTAAAAATTCACAGTAAAGTTATATTGAAAACTGTTTACTGTGAATTATTCAGTAGAACTTCAAACACTCCGTTTTTGCTTTGACCAAATGGGATAAGTATATTTTAAAATTTAAAATATCAAAGTATTTTAAAGTTCTTTACAAAACTCTGTGGGCTGCTTGATGCCAGATCCTAGTATATAAACATTTATTAGAGTGATATTATTTGGTTTAAGCTAATCTTTACAATTCTGTAAATGCCAGCTGCTGTTGTCCTTTAGGTATGTTCATGATTTCTTTAGCCATTTAATATGAATTAGCTGTGACATACAGCCTTTTGCATCTAGGTATCTTTGTATGTACATGTATATAATTATATTTTGCTCTTTTATCTATCTCTTTACACTGCTGGAAAGTCAGATTTGTAATTCTGTTAACTTCCTATACAAATTTTTGTGCCAATGAGATTGTCTGCTATGTTTCTGCATCATGTAAAGATTTTTTTTTTTAATAAATCTTTGTTGGCTTACAAAATTTAACACACACAAATACCTAACAAACATAAAATGAGAAGAGCAAATACAGATAGAAAAAGAAAAAAGAAAAACCCTAAAGATCAATACCATACAGCCACAAAAAAAAGAAAAAAAGAAAAGAAAAAGAAACACAAAATTTTTTAAAAACAGGGTTTCCTTCTAACTAAACAGTGAA